CGCTGGCGCCCTGACGCCCGAAGAAGCCGGCTCACGCCCACGTGACCAGCCCCCTCACGGCCCACCGTCTCCGTGCCGTTCCTGGGCAGGTCAGACCCCGCAAAGCCGAAGCCAGCCGGCCCCTTGTCGTACCGCCTGCTCGGCCTCCCCACCCAGTTCCTCCCGCCATCCTCAGCCACCAGATCCGGCCGAGAACCGCCACCGGGAGCACCACCCCAGCTCGCTCGCCTCCAGCTCCGGTCAACCCTAGTCGCCGATGATCCCTGCTCAGCCCGCAACCGCCTCCAGCGCCTCCTCCACCCGTGCGACCACCACCAACGTCCCCCTCCTTCCCAGATCCTCCACCACGCCGCCAACGACGCCACTGACCCCGACTCCTTTAGCCCCCACCTCGTCGCTGCTGCCTTTACCCCGTTTGTGCCACCTCGTCGTCGAGCTCGTCGTTGTTCGACGTCTTGCTCCACCGCCTCAGATCCGATCCGCGCCATCAGCGTCGATTCGTTCGACAAATACCCCGAGGCAAGATCCCGATCCTTGTTTAGTTTCGTTCCAATTTTTATATTCGTCGTAGATTATTTATGTGCAAGATTCCCCTCTCCTGTTTCGTAGTTTGATTATTTACATTTTTATGAATTATTTGCATAGTTTAATTGTGTCGTATTTATCTGCGTGGGTTGTTTGGTGAACAATATTGATTTACATAATGGATATGTGATAAATGACATTTTCAGAATAATTATAAGGAATTAAAAGAATTTAGTTCGACAAAAGAATCATTTTTGGATAATTATAATAAGTTAAAAGAATTTAATTTAGTAATGGATTTATTTTAGAGAATTTATAATATTTAAAAAGAATTTGTTTTGAGAAAAAGAATTATTTTAGATTTTTATAATGAGAGATAATTTTAAAGAAAATTATTCTTGGAATTAATAACTGAGATTTTGATTTTCGTGTGCAAAATATCTGTTAATGATAGTTTCATCTTGCACTGTTAATAGTAGCTTTACTCTCGTATGTTTCTTGCATGTGATCACGATCCATGTTCACACTTTATGACATTGACACTTAGCGTAACTGCATTTATTATTCCATGTTGAGATTCGTGGGAAGTACATGACTATAGTGACCGGTATGACACAGTTAGAATCTAGAATCTCGTGTATAGTTGACTTGGAATTACGAGAATTAAGTTGAGAAGTCTTGGTCCATGTGAGAGGTTGTGATTGTTGATGTATATTCCGGGCTCGCGCTGGTGAAGTTTGTGTAGTCACCGGGGTGGGTCCGAGGAGTTGTGACATGTGATTGTTGATGTATATTCCGGGCTCGCGCTGGTGAAGTTTGTGTAGTCACCAGGGTGGGTCCGAGGAGATAGATTGGAGTTAATATTTAATTATCTACAATTTGAGACATATGGTATATACATGAGGGTTTCCTTGTTTGGATTATTTCGCTCGACGTACTACGTATCGAGTTGTAGATTTTTAAGTATTAATTCTATCTAGGGGTATATCCTTGTTACGCGGATGATTATGGATTCTTATGATCGTTATACTCTAGTGATGGATTGCATCTAGCTTGTTAGTATTCCAGCTGCATGTTTCTATTTATTATTATTGTTATTGCATTGGTCATTCGACCGTTCCTATTTTCTTTGTGGGGTCGGGTCTTGCCGTGCGTCATGCACCTGACGTACACCTGTTTTCTCTGGTGTACGTCAGATTTAGAGGAAGAACAGGTTTAGCAGGAGTGCCTTGTAGATGGAGCAGAAGAAGGAGTCGAAGCTTATTCTTTGATGGTTCTAGTTTACCTTTATAGTTCTTTCTTTTTCTATTGATCGATGTATTTTGTGTTTCTTCAGTTCACTTGTTCAGATTTGTATAAGGGTACGTTTGACCCATTTTTTATGTCTGGGATGATTTACCATTGATGATATGTCTATTTTATTTCTGGGTTGTCTTTATATTCTTGCTATGTGTGATCGGGGACCTGTGACTTCGTATTGTATTGTTTTATTTCCAGACGCTTAGCGTATTAGATTGAGAAGAAAAGAAAAAGAAAGAATTTTAATAGTGTATATTTCTTCTCAACCTAATACGTCGCGGACTTGTTCACATCCCGATTCCTGAGTATTTTGGGAAGCGGGGCGTGACAGCCAAGAAACATTATCCTCCAAACCTTTTGGGTTTTGAGCATGGACCAAATTCTTTCTGCTCTTGCCCCAATTTTGTAAGAACTTTTGAAGAAACACAGAACTAGTTCTAGTCAAAAAGAGCTTAAAACTTTATGTTTGATAAGTTTAGCTCTAGTTGAGGAGATTTTAAAAAATAAAATTCGACTCTATTCACAAATTTTATGAAACATGCATATCAAATTTGAGACATTATTGTGCGTAACCTGACAAATTGAATGAAATTAGGTCGAGGGTCTTCTAAATCATGGCACATTTCCTATACACATTTCCTGTACATTTGTTGTGCGCGACGGAAATTTCGGCATAGTTTCTGGTGCACAATAAGAGAGAAAGATCAATAAGAATTCCCGTCTCACAAAGAAAACAAGAATCAGAAGCGAATATCTCAACAATGTGAGATATCGGCTCTTCCTTTCATCAGTTCTAAGACTGACTTATCGAGGGATCCTAAAAACTATTACAATGGCCACAAACACAAACAAACCAATTTTACGTGGTTCGGCAAACTGCCTACGTCCACGGGGTAAGGAGTGGGAGATCTACTATTAGAGAGGAGAGAATACAACTAGGGTTTACAATCACTCAATCTAAACCCTCACACAATCTCTCAAACCTCTCACATAAATATCTCTCTCAAAAGCTCTCCTCTGTCTGTGATTTTTTTTCACTGCACGAATCCCAAAAAAGGAGTTCTGCCGAAAACAACTCAGGCCGAAAAAAACAACTGTCTTCGCACCTGCACACAGCCGCAAAAAATCAAGCTCCTGCACACCTCCTTTGCTCTCAATCTTGCACCAAAAAACCCTAGGCTAAAATATGGTTCCTATTTATAGCCTAGAGGTTACATCAATACGAAACCTGGGTCTGGGTTTTTATCCGCTGGATTCGGCAGCTCTTCACACGTTTTGTGGCCCTCACATGAAACCCAGCTCTTCACGTGGTCACGTGGTTGCTGCTGTTTTCAGCTCCTCACCCAAAAAACCCACTGGTTCTTAGCCGAACTCCTTCCTCCGTGTCTCTTGATAGGGGCTTGGGTGTGGTACATGTGGCCCCCACGAGAACCCAACTCTTCACGTATTCACAATTCTCCACATGGGTGAAGTTTTTCCAAAACTAAGTCGACACCAACCAAAACAAATGCCTCACTTGTTGCGTCCAGTACGAAGTGAAACAATTCACAACAACAGACTCAATCCACAACAAGTCGAGACCCAAAACGAGAATGTGACTACTCTCCAAACGTCGATGTCTACTCATCAAATCGGTCTCACCCCCATCAAAATCCAAACCCGACTGCATCATAAGACTGCCTACGTATCCTCTTACCCAAGGAATCAAGCCGAACATAGTTCACCCAAATGGCCTCCAAAGGCCTCAATCCACTAGAAGAGTTCGGAATCAAGCCGAACATAGTTCACCCAAATGGCCTCCAAAGGCCTCAATCCACTAGAAGAGTTCGCAACTCTTCTCCAATATTATCAACTTTGCGGCTGATAGCACCTCCAATGGCCTGAAACACCTCCACCTAAGGTGAACCAATGGTCATATCCAAACTGCATCTATCAGCTGCACTCGAATTAAAACCCAACTCATCATCTGCAACCAAATCTAAATGATCCCTAAGCTGTGTCACCTCAGCTGGAATCCCAAATAATGCATTATGATCTGGAGTAATCTTCACCCAATGTGGAGTAGCATCACTCTTCACCCGCTGCGATACATCTAAGGTCTGTCCAAAACTCTCCACCTCCTGAGAGTCAATTAGCTCCATCATCGAATCCTCAACCGAAGTGACACTACCAGACCAAACACCCAATTGAGTTTTACCTCCTATCACAGCAGTTGACAACTCTTTAATAAGATGGCTCGAATATGTCAAAGCCTCGGTCCGAAAACTCTTCTACAGACTATTGCTTGACAACAAACACCGATCCTCCTCTAGCAAGACACGGTTCTCCAAATTTACCACCCTATCTCGTTGTCCTAAGATTTCCTTTCTAACGAAGTGTCTCGCAATGCCGTGAGCTCGGCTCTAATACAAAAACAGGTCCATCTTGTACCTCCTATCAAAACCAGAATGAAGTACCTTCACCTTTCTGTCCATCTTACACTTCTTCAAATTGTTGGATACTACTAGGACTTTCTCCAAAGGGGATTTGGTTGTAACCCAAACACGCCTAGAAACCAAACGCCTATTACCTCCCAATGATGCCCCCTTAGAAGGCCTCCAAACATCCACGTGAACTCCTCCAGGATGACCCTTACCACGGTGAATAGAGGTGCCAAACTTCACATCGGTCTTCTTGCTCACATCATGTTTACTAGACTTCAAACTGCAGGTCTTTACATCCTCTTTCAATCTATGCGAGGAATCAATACTGGAATGATCAAGCCCCAAATGTCGTAGTCTAGTCGAATCAATAGAAGTCGCCAGTTCTTCACCTGCCACTATACCTCCAGTCAAGTAATATTCCTCCTGACGTCCTTCATCATAATCCGAGAGTCTTCCACAATCTTGAGAACCATGTCCTCAATTCGAACATTCAGACCCTCTCCAATCAAAGCTCCAATCGAGATCAAGTTCTTCCTCAAAGAAGGAATATATCTCACATCATTTAACTCCCTAACAGTCCCGTTAAATATTTTTATGCGAATTCTTCCTATCCCAAGGATCTGACATGTACAGTTATCAGCCATGTATACCACACCACTATCCAACTTCTCAAAACTGGAGAACCATTCCCTTCTAGGACACACATGATAGGTCGTACCACTATCCAACATCCACTCGGATTCCTCTGAATAGCTACACGTAGGACTGATAGAAAGTGAATAAATAAAAGAGTCAGAAATATTACCATCTGATACGATGTTTGCTTCTGATGATGGTTGCTTTCCTTTTCCCTTCTGTTTATTCTTCATCCATTCGTCGAGCTTTGGACAATATTTCTTCCAATGACCAGTATCATTGCACCAAGCATACTGATCTTTTCCAATTGTAGGATGTCCTACTCTGGACTGTGACTTCCAATTCTTCAGGTTTGGACCCTTCCCTCTTGCGACCAACGCCTCTGCTATCGACTCAGTCGAAGTCTCCTTATCCTTCTTCCGAAGCTGATAATTCACCAATGCAGCAGTGACCTCACTATACGAAAGAGATGCCTTCCCATTAATCAGAGTAAGGACGAAGGTCTCATATTCCTCGTCGGGTAAGGAACTCAACAACAGCAACGCCTTGTCCTCATCTTCAATCTTGACATCCACATTCGCCAAATCCGCAAGAAGCTTTGTGTAGTGATTCATGTGATCTCTAATTGAGGTTCCCTTCTTCAACTAGAAATGATAAAGTCTCCTCTTCAAATGCAAGTGGTTCTCAACACTCTTTGTCAGATACTTGCTTTCGAGAATCTCCCAAATCTTCTTCGCAGAAGTCTCATTCATCACATCATATTTTAGATCTTGTTCTCAACGCACCAACGAACGAAGAATAGATCCAAAACTAAAAAGATAGAGTCTTTTACCAAAAGATCTCACCTTTATCACCAAACAAAGCCCTAGACGAGCTTTCAAATTGATCTACTCCTCCAAATAGCCCAAACGTAGCTCGGACTCTGATACCACTTGTTGTGCGCGGTGAAAATTTCGGCAGAGTTTCTGGTGCACAATAAGAGAGAAAGATCAATAAGAATTCTCGTCTCACAAAGAAAACAAGAATCTGAAGCGAATATCTCAACAAGGTGAGATATCGGCTCTTCCTCTCATCAGTTCTAGGACTGACTTGTCAAGGGATCCTAAAAACTATTACAATGGACACAAACACAAACAAACCAATTTTACGTGGTTCGGCAAACTGCCTACGTCCACGGGGTAAGGATGAGGAGATCTACTATTAGAGTGGAGAGAATACAAATAGGGTTTACAATCACTCAATCTAAACCCTCACACAATCTCTCAAACCTCTCACACAAATATCTCTCTCAAAAGCTCTCCTCTGTCTGTGAGTTTTTTTCACTGCACGAATCCCAAAAAAGGAGTTCTGGCGAAAACAACTCAGGCCGAAAAAACAACTGTCTTCGCACCTGCACACAGCCGCAAAAAATCAATCTCATGCACACCTCCTTCGCTCTCAATCTTGCACCAAAAAAACCCTAGGCTAAAATATGGTTCCTATTTATAGCCTAGAGGTTACATCAATGCGAAACCTGGGTCTAGGTTTTTATCCGCTGATTCGGCAGCTCTTCACACGTTTTGTGACCCCCACATGAAACCCAGCTCTTCACGTGGTCACGTGGTTGCTGCTGTTTTCAGCTCCTCACCCAAAAAACCCACTGGTTCTTGTTGGCCTTCTTGTTTTGATGATGTTTAACAAACAATTTATTACTAATGTTGTTTGTCTAGTGTTTGTGCATTCCTATGTTTTGTAGACAAACAACGTAGTTGGAGGATGGGTGGAATTGCGCTTCAACGATGATATCCAAAGGAGGTTGGTGGAATGTCGGTGAAGCCTTGCAATTCAAAGTTCAAGATCCAAGTTCAAGCTTCATCCGCAACGTGTACCAAGTCAAGATAAATTGAAGATCAAGATTGCTTGGGTAATGTAGTTTAGGATTTATATTATGTGTGTTAAGTACGTTAAGCTCAATATCTATACACACACATTATATTGGTTTTCATATATATATATATATATACATATGTTTTTGGACCAAGTCAAGATAAATTGAAGATCAAGATTGCTTGGGTAATGTAGTTTAGGATTTATATTATGTGTGTTAAGTACGTTAAGCTCAATATCTATACACACACATTATATTGGTTTTCATATATATATATATATATATATATATATATACATATGTTTTTGGTTTTATAGTTTTCGGGCTTATATATGAAACAAATGCATAGAATTGGAAAATACTATTTAGTTTCATGTTTATATGTATATATATGATTTCATCTTTAACAAGCTTATATTTAATAAAATCATATTTAGTGTTTTGAATATATTGCATAGAATATGCAATTTTATGAAAATATTGTATTTCTAGGTTATAGACTTCATAACAACATGTTATATCTTTTATCAAGTCTATACAATCATTTCATAAGGTTTCAAAATGTTGTTTAAGTCAAAATATCAAAATATCAATTTTCAGGTTTTCATGTTTTGGACTATTTTGTAAAATGATGATATTTTTCATTTGGGAAGTCCTTTTTGAAAACCAGTTTTTGTAGCATGTGTATTATCATGTCTACAATCATTCCCCAAAGTTTTACATTTTTTGGAATTTGTTTGATATTTTTAAACAGCTTTTTAAAATCAGCAAATCAGGTTTTT